TACCATACCATACCAGACCAGGCCATACCAGACTAGAACAGAACAGACCAGACCATACCATACCATACCATACCATACCATACAATACCATACCATACCAGACAAGACCAAACCATATCATACCATACCATACCATACCAGACCAGACAAGACCAAACCATATCATACCATACCATACCAGACCAGGCCATACCAGACTAGAACAGACCAGACCATACCATACCACACCATACCATACCATACAGTAAAATACCATACCATACCATACCATACCATTCCAACCGGGCCATACAAAACAATACAATGCAATACAATACCATACCATACCATATCATACCATACCATACCATGCCATACCATACCATACCATACCATACCATAGCATACCACACCACACCACACCACACCACACCATACCATACCATACCATACCATACCATACCATACCATACAATACCAGACCACACCATACCATACCATACCATGCAATAAAATACTATACCATACAATACCATACCATACCATACAATACCAGACCACACCATACCATACCATACCATAGCATACCATACCATACCATACCATACCATACCATACCATACAATAAAATACTATACCGTACCATACCATACGATACCATACCATACTATAGCATGCCACACCACGAATGAACTTCATAACTTTACACAGACAATACATTACCATACCATACAATACCATACCATAACATAAAATACCATACGACATCATACCATACCATACCATACCAGACATTACATTACCATACCATACAATACCATACCATACCATACCATACCATACAGTAAAATACCATATCATACCACACCAGACCACACCATACCAGACCAGACCACACCAGACCATACAATACCATACCATACCAGACAAGACCAAACCATATCATACCATACCATACCATACCATACCAGACCAGACAAGACCAAACCATATCATACCATACCATACCAGACCAGGCCATACCAGACTAGAACAGACCAGACCAGACCAGACCATACCATACCATACCATACCATACCATACCATACCATACCATACCATACCATACCATACCATACCAGACAATACCAGACAATACATTACCATACCATACCATACCATACCATACCATACCATAACATACCATACCACACCACATCATACAATACCATACCACACCATACCATACCATACAGTAAAATACCATACCATACCACACCAGACCAGACCAGACCATACCATACCAGACCATGCCAGACCAGACCAAACCATACAATACCATACCAGACCAGACAAGACCAAACCATATCATACCATACCATACCATACCAGACCAGGCCAGACCAGACCAGACCAGAACAGACCATATCGTACCATACCATACCATACCATACCATACCATACCTAAATTTTCTGTCTGATAAGTAAGAGCGGAACCATTCCAAAGCAGTGCCACTGATACCTACCCAGGACTCAAGACTATCCAACAAAATAGAATGGTCAACAGTGTAGAAGCCAGAGGAAAGGTCTAACAAAAGTAGCAGAACAATGGACCCAGAGTCAGAGGCCACCAGGACATCATTCATCACACGCAATAGGACTCATATTAGTAAAAATCTGAGGAAAACACCCTTGAAATAAATTTATCTATGTCCACCTTTTGAGAAATGCAACTGGGGGCCATGTAAAATCCCACTGAGGGACACAATTGGCCCCTGGACCACACATTGGGCATGTTTCCATTTTAGGATTGAAACTTGTAGAATTCCAGTTTAAGAACAGATCTGTTTTAGTAATTTTGAAATTATTCAAATGTAAAACAAGTGGAATAATTCTTCTGGAGAAAGGGGTAGGTTAGGACAAAAAAACCTGGGTACCCCTTTTAATGAATAACAAAATAATGTTAATGTTCTACTAGATACTGATCCTACCCACGTCAGTCCTGAAAATCAGCTAAAAGGAGGTAAAGAAACGCCTGCAGAAGTTTCTGGTCGTCACAGTCCATTGACTGGAACGTCATGGAAAACCTGCAGGATGCTGAAAATAGCCCAGAATTCTAAGACCTGTGGAAAAGTTTGCAAAAAATAACCACCGAGTTAAAAACAAATGTTCTTTAGTTTATTGTTTACTTGCTGCAGGGGATGCATCCTATTACCTTCTCATCAACTGTCAAACATACTAAAAGTTTGAAATATGAATGGATTATGAAAAGGATTTGACATGGATAATTACAGCTTCTCCTCGGGTGGGGGGTGATAGCCCGTTTCATTATGATGGTATTTTACTGGATAAATGAACGTGTTAGCTCATGTTAGAACATGTGAATCGTTATGACCACATTACTCATCGCTGCTGTTGTTTCACACACACAAAACCTCCGTTTTCTAATTTTGTATGAGAGACAAAACATTAATCAGAGGAAATGGAACAAAGAGTGATGTAACTCCGGCTACAGTAAACAGTTAGCACTTTTTCATACCCATTTGTAAGAACCTTACAAAACCACTCTGAAACCCGGCCGTTGCTTGAAACTGGGAATGTGGAGGGCTGTGACAAAGCCTGGCTCCTTCACAAACACACACATCCATTCAGAACAAAACTCAGCCCTTTCGCTCACATGTTGGCCGGCTTTGTGTTTATGCCTCCGTGCTTTCAGAGCACCAAGGCCATTAGCATTGTGAGAAGCTGGATCAGGTCTCTGTGAGCTTATGTGTTTTCATATTTCAGTGCATTAAGATATACGTGTCCTTGTGCGCCAAAGGGACTGGACTTGTGTTTGTAAATAAAGTAATATCACATCTGGGTGGATATCTCTTTATGATTATTGTCAGCCTGGGAGCTTTCCCCCAGAAGGTCAGCTGTTAGTGTTAAGAGGGTCTGTGTAATAAAAGGAAGGAGTGAGGTCACAGACGTTGGCCACAAAGGCTCCTGGCCCAAGGTCTGCTGAAGTACAAGCAGCCTTTGTCGAGGCCATGCTTGGAGCGGTCTGTGCTGCATTACAATGAATCTGAGAGGGAGTGAGGGAGAATTGCAAGAGGCTTTAGCAGCTTGTATTGATTAGCAGGAAGGAATTCAACGTAATGCCCCATGTGCCTCTTCTGCTGCCAGCAGAGCACCTGAAACACGTGCCGCATCTCCTGACATGCAGGGTCTTCTTTTACTTTTCTCAAAGCTGTTCAGATCTTTTAAAGTGGGCTTCTGTGGAAAGTTTATGAAAAATCAATATCTTACCTGTAGTAGAAAGGTCTTTGAACAATTTCAGTATGGAGAAATATAAATTAGTTCTGACTGGATTGATGAGCTAAGAGCTATTCCAAGTTGAATCAATACCAAAGGAACATTTTTAAATGGTTTAAATGTCAAAAAGATTCACTGTGGTCATGCAAATACTTTTTTTTACAATCCTTTGCTTTTGCTTTAACGTTACTCGTGGGTTTACATGATGTTGTGTGGTTGTTTCAATGTAGAAATACTGGCATCAGTAACAATATTAGCTGCTGACCTCCTGGTGCAGCCTGGAGCACTCTTTAAGGTTCAATCAATACCTTTGCCAAGGGTCTCTTGGATGCCATACACGGGGGGTGGGGTGGCAGAAGCGCATCAGCCTGGAGGAGTTCTGCTGTGCGGTGGAGTTGCTAATGCTGATGGTTAGCGTCTACTAGTTGAGACGTTCTCTGCTGTTTGCTGAACGCTAAAAACAACGACAACCTTCCCCATCGTCAGTCAAGATGGGTCAGTCCATGAGTGTTAACCATCTGGAGGCAGGCGTTGCAGATTTGCAACGTTAAAACCTACCTACCTGGTTACTCCACATGCATATTTCATGAGCATTTTTTAACTCAGAAGTACCCCTGAAGGACTTAGTTGTTTGTCCTTTTGTCAAAACTTATTTTGAGCCTGAGAGGGTTAAGCGACAGTGTGACGTAGATCTGTCAGGCTTTTCAAATCCTAGAGTTCCACCATCTGTTTTCTATCAGAACTTAATGCAGGAGATAAGTGTAGAAGACTAGTTTCATCTTTAGCCTGCATGAAAAACTTAATAAGGTGTGACTGATAAGTAGGGATGGGTACAGTATTCGGTACTTTTTAAGGCTCCAACCGAATTCCGTGGTACCGACCAAGGACTGATTAATGTGACATGAAACAGTGACTTGTTTCGGCACCTTTTGCCACCTAAACACTAGCGTTTGCTACCTGATTTCCCAAGATAGACAGCAGCACATTTGCAAGAGCGTTATGTTGTCAGTCGCTGTGGGCAAGATGTAAACAGAGCAAGCAGCATGGTAGAAAGAACGCACTCCAAAGTTTAGGTCTACTTCACTAAATGCGATGGTGACTGGGTGAGGATGACAACATTGACAACGTTCTAAGTGAGTTATCATCGTCTTACTCTGCTCCATAACGTAAAGAAACTGTTTAATATAACGTTAGCTTTAGATTTGAGCTTCCGTTGCTAGCAGCTAAGGCTGCGTTCGTTTTCTCCTTGGCACTCGGAAATTCCGACATCCGAGTGGGAAAAATCAACAGTTTGAAACTCAACGGCCAAAGTAACGAAGGTACACAGTAAATTGAGTTCACTGCAGAGTTGGTTGCTTCAGTTTAATTTGCAGTTCATAATACAAGGATCCACCCATCACAGTTTGTCCAGAGGTGAGAAGAGAAGAAAAGGAGTCAATGGAGATGGGTTTTAGTTTTGTATCGTTTAGAACAACACATTCTCACACCCAAAGCTGCTACAACTGACGATGGGTGGCCAAGCATTTGTCTCTGATGTTGGGAGGCGCTGCGCGGTGCCAGAGCGCTGGTTTCCGAAGTATGCGGGAAAACACATTTAACCGACATTTGACCTATAATCTCTTGCTATTCCACCTTTCCCTCACCCCATTCTAACCTTGACCCTAGTTTCTCATTCTAAACTTCCCATTAACTGTGTTTGAGAGGGACGTTACAACTAGAAACAAAGTTTTGCATGCGCAAGTGGGTTAAGCTTAGGACGGGGATGAGAATAGTAAAAGAGTAAAGGTCACAGCTTGGTGAAATCTCAGTTTTACAGCTGGCGTCGGAAGCTGGCGTCGGAAATAAATGAGCAATTAACAGGGACACGTGATTGAACAGAACGGGGAGACAGGACAGAGTGTGACAACAAAGAAAGGGCGGCACCGGACGCCCAACGCAAGCCAAGACAGAGTCTAGGGGGCCTGCATCTGGAGCACAGGAAGCGGGGCCGGAGTCTGTGGTACCTGTGTTCGGCGCACAGGAGGCGAGGCCGGAGTCTGTGGGGTCTGCATCTGGGGCACAGGGGATGACGCCGGGCTCTGGGGGCTTTGCGCCTGGCGAGGGCAGGGCCAGCGGTGACTGCAGGCGGAGATGATGCAGAGCGGGTCCGGAGGCATTGACTTGAGGAGGGGTGCCGGAGGCGTCAACTTGGCTGGAGGCGCTGACTTGAGGGGAGGGGCCAACTGGAGTGGAGGCGCCAGACCTGGCCCCGACTGAAGTGGAGGTGCCGATTGGAGTGGAGACTATGACCTGGATGGAGGCGCCGGACCGGGCGCTGACAGGACTGGCGGCTCCGGACCAGGCGTCGACCTGGCTGGAGGTGCCGACTTGGCTGGAGGCGCAGACAGGACTGGAGGCGCCGGACCGGGCGTCGACTTGAGTGGAGGCGAATCCACTGCCTTGGCTGGCGACGCCGGACATGCCGCTGATGGCTTGGCTGGAGGCGGGACCGCTGCCTTGGCTGGTGGCGCCGGACGTGGCGCTGACGGCTGGACTGGAGATGCCGGAAGTGGCGCTGATGGCTGGACTGGAGGCGCCAGACTGGGCGCTGACGACTGGACTGGAGGTGCCGGACTAGGGACTGACTGGACAGGCTGGGCCGGGGGCAGAGCCTCTTGGACTTGGGGGCCTGGAGATGAGGGAGCTGTTGACTGGACAGGAGGCGGGGCCACTGGCTGGACAGAAACCCTCTCCTGGAGATACAGGGGGGATAGGGTGTCCAGCTGGAACTCCTGGAGGCTGATGAGTTGACGGAGCCAGCCAAGCTCCGCTTGGAGGCCGGCGAGCTCTGTCCGATGGGCTGCAGGCTTGGTCCCTCTGCCTGCAGATGAAGGAGGCGCTGACTGGACCGGAGGTGGAGCCGCTGACCTGACTGGGGGCGGGTCCAAGCTGGCGCACTGAGCCGGGGTGGTGGTGAGCCTGCGGGGCCACTCCGGGGCTGGAGGTGTTGGTGGAGCCGGGGTTCCTTCCCGGTGTCGTGGACCAACGCCAGGGGAGCACACAGCCTGGTGCCCACATAGCAGGATCAGTCCGGCTGCATCTCCCAGTCCAACCTCTCCTCTGGCTCCGGGAGGGTGGGGAGGATCGCCGAGGCTCGATGGCGGCATCGGCGGTGTGGGGGCGTTGTAGGAGGAGAAGCTGGCTGGTGGCTCGGGGTGAGCCATCGGAGCAGGTACTCCCAGGGGAGAACCTCCCCGCTGGATCCTTCGGGTGGTCGGTTCATTCTGTCACGGTGCAGGTGAGTTGAGCGGTTGTGAGGATCCAAATGCTGGGGAGGAAGCATGGAGACAGACAAACTGGAACATGTAAAAGGTCTTTAATGACAAACGCACGCAGGACATGGAAACAGTATATGATTAATGGCCTGTATTTAATATAGTGCCTTCTAGAGTCCTGGAACCCCCCAAGGCGCTTTACAACACAATCAGTCATTCACCCATTCACACACACATTCACACACTGGTGGGGATGAGCTACAATGTAGCCACAGCTGCCCTGGGGCGCACTGACAGAGGCGAGGCTGCCGAGCACTGGTGCTACCGGTCCCTCCGACCACCACCAGCAGGCAACGTGGGTTAAGTGTCTTGCCCAAGGACACAACGACAGCGACAGACTGAGCGGGGCTCGAACCTGCAACCTTCTGATTACGGGGCGAGCACTTAACTCCTGTGCCACCGTCGCCCCAGTGAACTGACAAGACACACAGAACTGAGAGGGCTTAAATACATGAGGAGCTGGGAGCTTGGGTGATTGGAAGACGAGGCAGGTGGGAGCAATTAACAGGGACACATGACTGAACAGAACGGGGAGACAGGACAGAGTGTGACAGTACCCATCCCTACCGATCAGAAATATTCATCAAAAAAATGTTTTTTCCGTGATCCACATCTTTAATTTTTCTGCTGAAATAACAATTTAAAACCAAACTGATGACTTTGCAAAGTTTTACAAATTAGCATTAACATGAGCCTCAATTTGGCATAATCAGTTTTCAATTCTGACTAGTTTAGTCTAAGTGAGATAACAACCAAAGGGGATTATATCTCCCTGGTTTTACAAACCTCACATGCTGTGTTTGTGATAGTAGTGGTAATATAAATGGAAATGTTACAGCTAGCTGTTGCTGCTGTTGTGTGTACTTGCTAATGAATGTTTATAAACTTCTATGGCATCTTTGATATTGGAGTTATTTTGAAATGCCAGTTTTACTTAATCTTAGCTCTGTTGTGCCTAGCCGTTAGCGTGTTGATCCAGTCAGAAGAAATCTAAATGACTACAAAGGAGGTTATTTTTAAACTGTCCACAGGTAACATGTTGGTGTTAATGACATAACATATTTGTAAAGGCGTCTTCATTTTGAACATATCCATCCATAAAATTATTTCTTATGAAGCTTTATGTTTTTACGTTTCAACACTCTTTATTTTCTTCCTGTTTGTATATGCGTGCATGGGGGGGTGGGGGGGTGGGGGGTGTTGCCTTGTTACTTTATTTTTATAATTTATAGGATCATGAATCTGAGTACCAAGCAATGCACTGTAATGGCCTCTGGGGGGTCGGGCAGAGACAAAAGAGACAGGAAAGTACTTCACAAAACATAAAATAGTACTTAGAAAAGACAATAATAAAAACCATAACACAGCTCCGTACTGATTAAAATGGTCACTGGTCTAGAACAGTAACAAAAACAAAGAAAACTGCAAAAAAAAATTTAAACATAAATAAATAAATAAACTGTAGCGTTATGAATATGCCATTTCTGCCCTTAACAGCTGCCCTTTGACACAGTGACAGTGTGCATAAATTGCCAAGGTCGTGCGCTTGCTTCTGGTGTTTACATTCCAGTAAAGAAGACAGAAGAAGGACGAAGAACGCTTTTCAATAGTTAATCAAAGAACTTTATTTCTAATAAAGCTAATCAAAACAACTGTTGGTCAATAATAATCAGGTGACCGATCTGTGAAATCACAATGTTATGATTTATGTGTTTAATAATAACAAGACTTGGGCTAACTGAGCTAGACATCCTGATCCACATAAGGTAAACACGTGACACATTGTTCACTAATCCAATCAGAACTTCCTTTCTGATGCGTGGCAGAGCTCTGTGGTGTTTAGTTAATCTGTCCACTCCGATTGGCTAAGAATCAAAAACAACTAAGCTTAATAAAACAGAACAACTCCATTTTAAGTCAGTTCCACCGCAGTTCCACCGCAAGTTTCAACGTAGTTCCAACGTGAGTTCAACCAGCTCTCAAATCCATCTGATGCCCAACATCGCTAAGTGAAGTACAGACTGGCCAGCTGAATTTTCTATTTTTAAGCTGAGAACTGTCAAGCTGGAAAATTTTGTCGTTTTATCAACAAGACGACGGTTCCTTCAGAATAAAAGCTGAACTCTATGACCAAAAAAGGGGGGTCTCTACGTGACGCTGAAATCTACCATTGTACCGGGAGACTATCCATAGACTGGTTTGTTGTGCTGTCGACGTTGTTTCGCCAGTTCCAGCACCAAGGAGGGTCGAGGACCTGGCATCCGGATCTAACACTGGGGGTCTCCGCACGGTACGTCGATCGGCATAGATAGCGTCTCATGTCTTCCTCCTGAAATCCATCGTTGGTCAGTTAGTGCAACAACACCTCGCACTCAGACTCGCCTCCACCAGATGGAGGTTCTGAACTGACACACACCCCAACACTTCAGCATTACCTCCATCTGCATCCATCATTAGAGAGTTAGTTCTGGTGATTGTTTTGAATAATTATAAAATAAATATTCTTAAGCGTCCCATCTCTCTCTCTTCTTGTCTCTAATTCAATACAAGGTGTTTGAATAAAATTCCCTGTAGTAAAAACAACCTCTTTTGATTCTAAGGGCCCGGTCCAAAGATTAATGATCCAGCTCAGGTTTAGATCAGTGATATCTCTGGACCTTAATAAAAGTGTAAGAATATACCAACTATATTCCGCTACAAAACTTTGTTGAACTGTTGAGTAGCTGTGAACAGAACGCTGTTCACTTTCCTACCTGCACCTGTTTGTCTGCTCATAGATCAAATGTTAGTGTCATGCTGACAAAAATAGAAGCACAAATTTTCACTTTTCGTGTTTTTTACGAATAAAGTTTAACATGTTTATAAGATTTAGAGATCAGAGTGAATGATAGATTTGTAGGTCATCTGTGTGTGTGTGTGTGTGTGTGTGTGTGTGTGTGTGTGTGTGTGTGTGTGTGTGTGTGTGTGTGTGTGTGTGTGTGTGTTGGGTCATGTGTGTCCCCAGGCACATGTGCTATATGTTTTCTCTGTTGCATAACAAGTGTCATGTAAGAAGAGCTTTACTCCTCGCCTCACTTTCAAATTTAAGAATAGTCATGACAGACCAACTGATTCATCACGCCGATGACACACACTGCACCTGTCACAACTAATGCACAGATAAAAATACATTCACTCCAATCAGCAAAGGAATCACGGCAACAAAAACAATCAGAAAATATTGATTCCTCGTAGTTTCTGCAAATATGTGGACTTAATCTTTATTTCAGAATGAGACACAACTAAAGTGTCTAGTCATTTAAGGCTGGTTGTCAAGATGACAAAGACAGCTCTTACTTGTCCTGTACAAAACAAACAGTTATTTAGCAATGTGGATCAGCTGGAATTAGCACATTTTCTTTGTGTTGTCAGTTACAGAAGCTAAACAACACTGCAGGTGACCACATCGGCCAGCTCATAACAACACCATGTGAACACAGAAAAACAAAATGATTCAACCCCTTCGGACTGCTGTCCCAGATTTGAATCAACCCACAGGTGGAGTATCAGGATTTGTACCATCATCAGAAACCTGCCATATCCTGTCATATATGTGTCTACTGCCCTCTGGTGGAGGCTCTTCATGTAGTAATTGTATTCCTTTACTACTGTTTTTTGTTTGAATTACACAATAACAACAAAAATAGCCATAATTACATAATTGAATAAAACAGATTATTAGGTAGTTGTTATGACATTAGAAAAAAATAACTGGAACATTTTAAGAAAGGGACCTATCCACTGGCACAAAATACTGGCCAAGAGTTATAGAGGCCCAAAGTAATGATAATTAAGTGATGTTGGGGCAAACTCATGTTATTGGGGTGACAGTGAGGTGATTACCCCAAAATCTTTATTATGGAGTAATGTGGAGGTGATGGCCACTAAATCATGTGAACTCATTCATTGCCAATGACCATTAAAGTCGTCATTTGCATTTTTACTGTGTGGGTCTCCGCTTTGTTTTTGTAGTTTTGGCGACGACATCATCTGCGCAACGTTCTGTGACACTTAAAAAAACAGTAAAAACTATGAGAAACACTGGCAGCGAAGGGCTTTACCGATCAGGAAATGGCTGGTAGCGAACGAGTTAATGGGGTGACGTTGAGGTGATGACCCCAAAATCATGTTAATGGGGTGATGCTGAGGTGATGACCCAAAAATCATGTTAATGGTGTGATGCTCAGGTGATGACCCCATGGCGATAGAATGATCAATCAAAAATCATGATTAGTCATTTTATAGTTAATCACAGTTATCATCACTTGAATTATGTCCATGAATTTGGGGTCAGGATTTTAACCCTCTCAGGCTCAAAATAAGGTTTGATTAAAGGACAAACAACTAAGTCCTTCAGGGGTACTTCTGAGTTAAAAAATGCTCATGACATACGTATGCGGAGTAACCAGGTAGGTAGGTTTGAACTCTGCAAATCTGCAACGCCTGCCTCCAGAGGGGTAATGACCAGTAGCGTCAAAATGTTCCAATTCAACACCGACATCCCAAAGAGTTAGTTGAGGATTTGACTTGGGGGGGGGGGGGGGGGGGGGCACACAATACAGTCCTGGACCAGTAGCCACTACTAAAGGGACTCCCTGGGGTCAAAACAAGGCGACAAACCCAACCCACATCTCTACAGAGTTGTTGTCTGTGACTTCAAATGTTATTTTTCTTTTTGGGACTCTGGCAGCTTGTCCTTAAGCTGAAGTTGTAGCTGCCTAGCCTGGTAAGCCATCTTCTATATGTGAATATATAGTCTAGCCACAACCCAACAAGCTCAAATGAGCCACTGCCAACTTGGTTGTTGTGCTCCATCACATCATCCCACTCACCAAACTTATACAGGGTTGAGACATAAAGCAAAATGGATTGGGCCAATGGTAGACCTGCTGAGGCTGCCTAGGACTGTTTCTCAATGCCAAGGAACCTCGTGTTGATGACTTGGTCCTGCCCCGGTTCCCTAGGATATACGTCATCAGGAACTGCGAAGGCGTGTTTCTATGTTCATGTTCTACCAAGCCATCTGTTCTCTGTTTGTTAGCCGTTTAGCTAGCTGATCAAGGATACACGGAAGGTGTCTTGATGCCAGCAGCGACTTTGGGGGCAAATTTCCAGTTTAAATGTAAATCCAATAATTGTAGCTATCGGGCGATATCTAATATATATATATTTTTTATACCCAATGCAGTTAGCTATGGTAGATTAGTTGATTCGTAGTTGCAGCTTTGATGGCTAGCAGGTAGTAAATTACATATTAAACTTAACCAATATTGACACAATTTAAAAAATAGAAGCCTTGTTATATATTTATATTGAAAATTATACATATAAAATATAACGTTACTTCCGGTGTCACGTGATGTTACGTGACCGATGCAAGATTGTTCCATTCCGATTCAAATTCAAAGATACTTTATCAATCCCGGAGGGAAATTAGAGTTTCAGTACACACAATTCTGAGATCAGACATACATACATAGACATAGACACATGAAAAGAATTGGTGACTGTGGTCATTCGCAACCCGAGTCGCGCTACCTTAATAGAGATCACAGGGTTT